TTGACCCAGTCACCCAAAAAGCAATAAGGATATCTACCACTTATTATCAATCAGTATGTGAAATATAAAGACTTGGTAACATATAGTTTTCAAGGTAATCAGCTGAAACCATTCTGACATTTAAGGTCGCTGTGACCTTGAGCTTTGACATAGTAACCCCTAAATCAATATGAATCATTTATTTGTTATGGTCAATTTGTGAATTATAAAGATTCTGTGATGAATAGTTTTCAAGATAATCAGCGAAAGTCATTCTGACAATCAAGGTCACTTTGACCTTGACGTTTGACCTAGTAACCCCAAAATCAATAGGGATCATCTACTAGTTGAAACCAATTAGAATTTGAAATATGAAGACTTCGTAATGAATGGTTTTCAAGATAAACAGCAGAAATCATTCTGGCATTATAGGCAATTTTTACCTAGACCTTTGACCTAGTGACCTTCAAATCAATAGGGGTCATCTACTAGTTATGACCAATCGTTATGTGAAATATAAAGACTTTGTGATGAATAGTTTTCAAGATAATCAACGGATAATCTGACATTTAAGGCCAATGTGTGCCTAACCTTTGACCTATTGACCTCAAAATCAATGGGGGTCATCTACTAGTTATGACCAAAGAGTTTATTAAATATGAAGACTTGGTGATATATAGTTTTAAAGATAAGAAGCGGAAACCATGTGGCCTAGCGACGGACCGACCGACCGGACAAACAGACCGACCCACAGTAGCAAAACAATATACCCCCTCTTCTTTAAATGGGGGAGGGGGTATAAAAATACTGTGGAACCGCAAAAATATACACACGTTTTGGGGTTATTGTTTTCAAAAAAGCAGCATATTTTTTTTCTTACCCATAAAATTGCAACTTAAAAAGTAGGCATAATTATTTATTATTGAAATCTGTACCCATTTGTTTAAATACTGTTACATCAGAAACGTAACTTTAAGTAAGCCAAAAGGTACAAACCTATTTTTAAACATTATATGTCAAGTTGTCTTGAATATAATACATTTGACTAGATGTATTGCCAACCAGGTGGCAATTTAAATCATGACTCAGACATGACAATTCAGAATCAAACCACAAATCACCATTCTGCCCTAGTACTTAAAGGTACAATGTTGTTTTAAAACATTTTAAATGAAAAATATTAATCCAATACAAGAGCGATCAGTGATCACATGTGTCGCTTCATGATTGCAAATTGCATGTTGGGACAAGTTTTGTGACAGACGGACAGACAGACGGACAGTGCACAGCTAGACTTGGTACTGATCATTCCTATAAAGTTTGGATATAATTGCACCAGTAGTTTATGAGGAGTAGTCCAGACAAGCTTTTGTGTATCTGGCAACACACAGAAAAAAACACCCTTTTTATCAAAGCAAAAATCATTCAACCGAAAAACTCGTGCAACATTCACAAGGACTTGAGCTTCAGATCAATCCTGTAAAGTTTCATTGAAATTGCATTAGTGGTATAAGACAAGTAGTTCGGACAAACTTTAAAAATAAAAATTATTAAAGGGCCATAACTCTGACAAAAATCATTGAACCGGAAAATGCTGACAATATGCACAACTAGACTTGGTACTGATCATTCCTGTAAAGTTTGGATGAAATTGCACCAGTAATTTATGAGGAGTAGTCCGGACAAGTTTTGTGACGGACGGACGGACGGAGAGACAGACGGACAGACGACGGAGAAGTGATCCCTATATGTCGCCACTACTCCGTAGAGGCGACACAAAAAATGATTTTAAATAGTACATTTAACAATGGTTTAAAGTTTACATTCCAACTTTCAGCTGAAAATAAATTATTGCGAATGGGGAAATGCTTGAAAAATGTAAGCAAGACAAAGAAAAATAGTAGAACAAAACATTTTTGCAGGTTTTATGCACTTATTTGAAGAAGTTATTAGAATTTTAATTGATTAATATAATTTTGAGTCATGAATCAGTAATCTTAAAGGTTTCATATACCGGAATTGTATTAATGTCAAGACCCGAATGGTAATTATCCATTAGTGACCGTCACAGACCTACTAATGATAAATGAAATTCATCAAATTGAAGTTTAATAAACACTTATTTTAGCATACTCTGTAAAACAATAGTATAGAAAATAATCCATTTACCATTTACAAAATCAACAATTATTTATAGATTATTCAATTAATATTGAGAATGTCACAGATTTCACGTGTTACGAACTGTAAATTTCGTGTAACTTATCTTTCACATACTATAGCCTCAGTATTGCCAATAAAGATTATATATATTATAACCTGTGCAAAATTTAAAAATCAAGGGTAAGAACAATTTTATTAAACATTGACTTCAGTGTTTTATATTTTTAAAATAATTTCCTTATAAATCATACTCTTGTAAAACGTGATATCGTTCTATATGAAAGAGTTTAAACAACTTTATGCTATATCATTTATAATCAAGCTATATATAAGTAGAGAACAGTTCTGTCTTAACAGAATTTTGATAAGTTTTTTTTAATGAAACTTCACCGGTTCGATATATTGCGATATCTGAAGACATATTGCTTTATAATATTGCCGGATTAAATATGTATTGGTTATAGTTCACATATAAGAATTATACACAAATTAGATGCAAGGGAGCATTAGCGACCGCTGCACTTAATTTTGTACATTATTCAAATATAGAACATACGCCATGAGCATATTAAAATAATAGTACATTTGTATAATACGATAATTTAATCCACGTAAACAAAGCACTATTTTAAGCGATGCCGCCACACTTAAGCGCGTTTTACACAAATAAATCTGACTGTTGAGTAGTGAAATATAATATACATGTCAGACTGTTCAAATCGGTCATGGTTCAATGATTTTTGGCAGAGTTATGCCCCTTTTACTTTGAAAATGATATAAAATTTTCAGTTTCCGTTCATTATCTCCCCAACAGTATTACACATTCAACTCAAATTTGACATATGGATATGTTTAAAGAATGCGCAGGCCAAGTTCGAATTTGGTCATGGTTCAAAGATTTTTTGCAGAGTAGTGCCCCTTTCACTTTGAAAATAATATGAAATTTTCAGTTTCTTTCTTGAATGTTGGAAAAAAAATTAATTTTCAGTTTCAGCACTCATTCTTTTGTGGAAATGTATTAGCCCTCATTTTGGCTACAAATATGCAATTTACAAAAGGTTCACACTGAAAATTTATAGTGCCTTGAACTTTGTTTAAAAATTGTTTGTGTTAACATTGAATACTTTTCGACTTTTTAAGGGCTTTGAACCTAAAATGAAAAAAAATGTGCAAACAAATTTGGAACTAAGTATTATAACATCTGAAATGTTGGCTGCATGCGGGGGCATCCGTGGCGTGACGACACATTTCTAGTAGTTTAGGTGAAATTGTATGGACAAAAATAAAGTAAGAAAATTAACAAAGGGCAATAACTAAAAATTCATGGAGTACAGAGTACCAGTTTTTGTGCAGTTCAATTTTTCTAAATGATATATATCATCCTATGAAGTTTCATGTCCATAGTTTTTATAGTTTAAGAGAAATGGCCAAACAAAAATGAAAAATGAAAATTAACAAAGGTCTATAACTAAAAAAATAAAATGTGCAGAGTATCAGTTCTTATGCACGCACTTTTAATCAATAAGATCCATCATCCTATGAAGTTTCAAGTCCATAGCTTTCTTAATTTATGAGAAATGGCCTGGACAAAAATAAAGTATGAAAGTTATCAAATGGCAATAACTCAAAAAATTAGATATGCAGAGTACCAGTTCTTGTGCATGGCACTTTGATCAATAGGATATATCATCCTATGAAGTTTCAAGTCATAAGATTTTATAATTTATGAGAATTGACCCAGACAAAAAATAATGAATGAAAATAAACAAAAGGCAATAACTCAAAAAGAAAGAAATGCAGGGTACCCATTTTTATGCACTGTACTTTTTCTTAATGAGATCTATCATCCTATGAAGTTTCAAATCCATAGTTTTATACAAAAATAATGAATGAAAATAAACAAAAGGCAAATAACTTAAAAAGAAAGAAATGCAGGGTACCCATTTGTATGCACTGTACTTTATCTTAATGAGATCTATCATCCTATGAAGTTTCAAATCCATAGTTTTATACTTTAGGAAACATTGCTCGGACAAAAATAAAGTAAGAAAATTAACAAAGGGCAGTAACTCAAAAAATTAGATATACAGAGTACCAGTTCTTGTGCACGACACTTTTATCAATAGGATATATCATCCTATGAAGTTTCAAGTCATTAGCTTTTATAATTTATGAGTATTGGCCGAGACAAAAATAAAGAATGAAAATAAACAAAAGGGCAATAACTCAAAAATAAATGCAGGGTACCCATTTTTGTGCACTGTGTTTTTTGTGTACTTTTTCTTAATGAGATCTATTATCCTATGAAGGTTCAAGTCCATAGCTATAATACTTTAAGAAACATGGCTCGGACAAAAATGAAGTATGAAAAATAATAATGGGCAATAGCACAAAAATAAAAAAGTGCACAGTGACGATTCTTTTGCACTGCACTTCGGATCATTAAAAGAAGCATGCATACCATGTTTGAAGTCATTCAGACTTATAAGGACTGACGTATGCTCCGGACAAGTTTAAGGGGACACAGCGCCGACAAGGACAACACACCTACAAGGACGATGCCGGCGACAAATGTAACACCTATAAATCGTCTTTTTCAAGGCGACACAAAAAATGCGTCGGAAACCAATGTCGTTAATACTGACAATTGTTAAGTAAATAGAACAGATACTTTGTAAATGATTTGTTGTAATGTAAAATAATAAGGTTATATGTTATATGTGTTAATTATTATCTTTTGGCATTTAAAATGAACTGTCACGGATTTTAGGACAACCCTCATATTATTGTCTGGCCTAAAGTCTGGTTGGCATTTAGGGACAACATCACAAATTTTCAGAGTAAAAGAAAACACTTACGGCAAGCATGTTCATCAGACCCATCAGCGCAGTCATTATAGCCGTTGCAAACTTGATCTTTTCTCAAGCAAGCATTCTTAGTCTTACAAAGGAATCCTGGATATTCGCAATCAATGTCCTTGCACTCATGATCGGCACTTTCACATTTGCCATTACACCAGGAATGACCCTCGCGACAAGATCCTAATATAGAGTATAATGTTAATTTCAGACATTTTATGATAATGAATGTAACATTAAACTGAAAAATTTTCACGCATGTAAATGCAAAAATCGATCAATAATCTATAAGCTTACTAAACAGCTTCCTCACAAAAAGAAATCACGACTCTTAACCTGCTGAATTTATGTAATGGATCTGCCCGTCTTTGAAATTGGAAGAATTGATTACAATATCAAAATTAACCCTTGCAGAAATTACTGGTTATTCACTGGTAAGTTACCAGGAGTGTACTGGGTAATCCTAGGAATATTTACTGGGATAATTCCTACGAAATCCAAGGAAATCTGAGGAATTCCTAGTTACTGGCTGGCGGTTATTAGAACGACTGACGATTGCCGGCGATCTGAACAACTAGATATAGGACTGATCACTCCTGTAAAGTTTGTTTGAAATCCCACCAGTAGTTTGACCTGTGAAGGCCAGACAAGGGTTTTCTTTTCTTAGCTCATGCAGCCATTTTGTGCAGCTAAGCGGAACGTGGCGACAACATGCACAGATAGGGATATTAATGATCACTCCTGTAAATTTTGGTTGAAATCCCACTAGTATTTCGACCTGTGAAGGCCGGACAAGCTTAATGGGGACGGACGGACGCCAAAGGCAAAAACAATATGTCTCCCAAAACATTTTGGGGACATAATTAAAAATAAAAAAAATGATAAATACAACTTACAACAGATAGCTTAGGCTAATCAGCAATAAATGTGGTCAAGATATGTTTTCCTACATTCACCGTAGTAAATTCAAATTGCTATTTTCAACAGCAGCCATCTGCTTGTTCATAGTGTGTAAAATCCTTTTTAGTTCACGTGCCACAGTACTTTCATGTATGTGTATTTTAGTTTTTTTATACTTGCCACCGGTTGCTCATTTAGGCAAGTTCTCAAGAAGAGTATTAGTCATTTTAGATTTTTAGAAATCCTAATGATTACCTTCTCGATATTTGTTTTCCACCTTTTAAAAATAAGTAGAACTCCGCGAGTCGGATGTGTCGCCTTGTGAACAATATAGTTAAGGAGAAATAGCCAGGACAAAATGATATGAAAATTAACAAAGGGCAATAACTGAAGAGAATTAAAAGTGCAGCAGTTTCTGTGCACTGCACGTCTTATCAATAAGATCAATCATCCTATAGTTCATAGCTTTTATAATTTATGAGAAATGGCCTGAACAAAAATAAAGTATGAAAATTTATAAAGGGTAATAACTCAAAAATAAGAAAAGCAGAGTAACGGTTCCTGAACATTGCACTTTTTCTTAATGAGATCTATCATCCTATGAAGTTAATAGACCATAGCTTTTATACTTAAGAAGAAATGGCCTGGACAAAAATAAAGTATGAAAATTAACAAAGGACAATAACTCAAAAAATAAGAAATGCAGAGTACCGGTTCTTGAACACTGCACATTTTTTATTGAGATCTTTCATCCTATGAAGTTTCATGTCCATAGCTTTTATACTTTAGGAGAAATGGCCATGGCAAAAATAAAGTATGAAAATGAACAAAGGGCAATAACTAAAAAAAAGAAATGCAGAGTACCGGTTCTTGTGCACTGCACTTCTTCTTAATAAGATATATCATCCTATGAAGTTTCAAGTCTGTAGCTTTTATACTTTAGGAGAAATGGCCCGGACAAAAATAAAGTATGAAAATTACCAAGGGCAATAACTCAAAAATTAATAAGTACAATGTACCGATTCTTGTGCACTGCACTTTGGGTCATTATAAAAAGCATGCGTACCATGTTTGAAGTCAATCCGACTTATAATGACTGACTTATGCTCCGGACAAGCTTAAGGGGACGCCGACGCTGACAACGTCGCCGAAAACGACGCCGACAAAAGTAGCCCCTTTTTTCAAGGCGACACAAAAACAGAGTCATCAAATCATCAAAAAAATCTTTCAGACCAATCTTCAGGATATTTTGATCAAAACAGTAGCCACTTGAATGTGAACAAGATTTTTCTATTTCTTGCTCTTGTGACTTAGTTTTTGTATCCGAAATGACCATTGTTCGAACTCATTCGAGCAATTAGCTAGACAAGCATCAGGACAAAGTTTGATGATCGATCGAGGCAAAAACGTGACCGCTTGAGTGTTTATGAACAAATGTGGTTGTCAACAGACGACGGAGGACGGACATTTAACGATCATAAAAGCTTACCCTGACCAAGCTCAAGTGTGCTAAAAATCAATGACCACCATTTTGACCCTATGCTTTTTTTTTAACAAACTTGGTAGACATCCATTAGAAGATGTTACATGCAAAATATGTAAGCTCCAGCGCTTTTGGATTTTCAAAAGAAGATTTGCTAAGTTTTTTTCTTTCGGATGCCATGGCACTCTGAATTTAGCATGGAATATAATTCTTTAAACAATTTTTAAAGGGCTTCATGAAAACACAATTCTTGCTTAGTTTTAATAATATTTACCAATTGGTATAGGAGGAATTTTTGTTCAAAGAGTTTGATGTCATATTTAGAAGAACACACAACGGATGCAGAATGATCACCACTGAGCACTTTGTGCTTAGGTGAGCTAAAAATGAAAATTTCAATAATTTGACCATGAAAGTCAGTGTCATTTATGAAGAAGGGCAAGGTCTATCTTATAACTAAATGTCTATCCTAAAAAATTGTTGTGTTCAAGTTTGAAGACAAGCCATTCAAAAATATACAAATGGGTCCAGAGGGTCATGGATCGCTCACCTGAGAGTTAACGTTTTACATTAAAATGTTTCGTGTTTGCTTTGAACAGATATGATTTAATTATAATGCACTTCGGTTTCCTCCAATATAACGCTAAGTTGCATTTTGGTTTGCTTATCAAGTTCTGGTCTTATTGTTTGTTTGCTTTGGGTTTTACGTCACATCGACACAGTATAGGCCATATTGCGACGTTCAAGCTTTACTGGTGGAGAAAGACATCAGGTGCCCTTCCGTGCATTATTTCAGGCACGAACGCGCACCTGAGTAGAACCACTGATGTATATAATGTATATCCATAATAAAATGTAAAGTTTGAAACAATACGGATAAAAATAGCGGGAAAAGAATGAAGCGATGCATTTTCGAATTTGCATTGCATTGTGTATATATATATACATAGTATAAAGGCTTTTTACTGAAATAGTGGCAAAAGAAAATTTTGATATAACATTTCAGCCTCATTTACTACTTTATCTTTTTTATAAATAGACTTTATCTGTCATATTTCAAATCAGACATTCATTATTTTCTATATTATACCATATTTTGACATTAATGTGACATAGGGAAATAAGTAACGCTAAGTCCATCAATCAATCAATTTAATATCATCAGTCTATAACTTTGTAAATTTTAAAGGATAGATAAAATAATTGACACTAACCTTTTATGTAAAAGGTCAAAATAGCAAGTTCTCATTGGCTTATGTGCAATTAACTTCTCTTTGTTACGTTCGGTGGGAATTGATAATAAATATCACTTTGGTATGAGAATTTTAAGTAAACAAAGCTGTTTCACATCATTTTAACCCTCTCATTACAGAATATCTTCAGATTTACAGTCAGTCTGTCCTGTCCTTGTATCTTAATTGGTAAGAACATAACATTATTTGGTTAAATTCAAGTAACTCAAATACTGCTAATTTATTTGTACTGATTTAACTGTTCCTCAGCTGGTTTTCAGTTTAATATTTTTTTAACAACAACCTGAGTAATTGAACTAGACTTTTATTCTAAATTACAAATTATTTAAAATAAAGCTTTACAGTTTATTTGCTTTTGTTTGCTTATGTTTATTTTTGTTTTTTATCCTTTTTTTGCTTCTGTGTATTTGTTGTCTTTTTCTAAAGAGTTAAATTACTACTATGACGTCATTCCATTGTTCTGACCGTACTGTATTTTTAATACAGTACAGGTAGGTGTCCAATATTAATGTGCAAGTCTAATATTAATCGTGTTACACATTAATATTAGACAGTGTGCAGTCTCTTGAAAGAAGCTTGTGTGACCACAGGATTTTGTGGAAAATTCTCCAAATTAAAAAAAAAGAAACAAAACCAAAAAGCGATAAAGTAAAATGTAGCCTCTTATCTCAGAAGTTAACACGAGGAATTATGTAATGTCTTTCCTTCACCCATTACGCAATTACACAATTTTAGGAAAAGAACAATACTAGGTTTGTTCTCTGGCTCATTTAACGAATTATTATTCCAAACCTACTGATTTTCGATTTTCAAGCTCTTCACGTTTACGCTTTCCAAGTGAAAGATAGCGGAGCGTCAGTTAGGATATGATTTTTATGGGATTAATTTCTTGTCTATTGTCCGTTTTTTTCTGTTTTAAATACATGTATACGTTAAGTAAACATTCATACATGATTTGCTTCATTGTATGTACGATATGTTTCAGTTAGGTCAACTTTTTAAATAAGGGTAATGGTCAGCTTTTAAATACAATAGAGAAAATAAATTCATCTATTTAAAACAAAAGCGGTTATGTTTGACTGCTTACATAAAGAAACGATTCCAGACTCCTGTGGTATGACAAATATCAATTCAAAAATAAGAAAACATCATTTTGTTGCATTAATATCCAAAATTTTACATCCGTGATAGTTGTAGTAAAGTAAAAATATCATTTTAACACTAAATGGTCTGTATAAATCCTTCTTAAAAGTCATAAACTGTTTCAGTCAATCATTTAAAATATCCGAGATTCAACATAAATTTGAAAACATTTCATTTTTATTATTCCTTGTAAAAATCCCCAATGTAAATTCATGTATACTGTGTGTGTAAGTCCAACATTTTGTGTAACTTGTATATTTTGTGTATGTATGATTGTGTTCATGTACATAATTGGTCATATTTCAAAACACGAAAATTTCATGCTACGGACATTTTGTTATTCAAGGGGCTACCTATAGGGTTTTGCAAGTAAGAAAAAGATAATTGCTAAAACATTAATATTGTATATTTCTAGCTCAAAAATACATTATTTCTAATTTTTCGATAGATAACATGATATTTGATAGTAAAAGAAGTAATTTAAGTAAGATATAAGCCTCAAACTGACCAATAAGTAAAATATTGAATTCCCTTCGGCGCTACGCGCCTCATGAAATTCAATATTTTACATATTGGACAGTTTTCGGCTTATATCTACTACTTACAGTGATGTATAAACAGACTTAAAACTCAATATTTAAACCAGCATGCCTCTAGATTCATGTTTTTTGGATTTTTTTTTTAATCTGAGACAAAAATGTTTAAAAAGGCAAAAGTATTCATGCTGTCAAGCAATATTTGTCAATGCAAAATTTTTAAATGATTTAAGCCACAAAAACATGTCATTTTTATTACAGCAAAAAAATCACCTCCTCTGTTATTAACGGGGTAGAAATATAGTAATACAAATAATAATGAAAGTCTGTTGTTATTTGCATATAAGTGTATATTTTCACTTCATTTATACACAATAATTTTTTCTTAATTTAGTCGTTATTTTTTTTAATTTATTTATTTTTTTATTATCTTTTTATTTTTCTACTCGTCTACTGTGGAGACATGCAGCTTTAAAATGATACAAAATTTTGAAGACAAAAATTGAGCCTACCTGGACAATTGCTTTCGTCACTTCCATCAGAACAATCTGGGGCATTGTCACAAACCAGATCCTCCTTTATACATTGAGATCTACCATTTTTAAGTTCAGAACATTCAAAATGTCGAACATGGCAGCCTAAAATTTGAACAAGATATATAATTCAAAATGTGGATCCGAGCAGCATAAAATTTTAACAAGACTTAACATTCAAAAGGACAGTATGGGCAACCTGAATTTTCAACCCAATCTAATATTCAGAATTTTTATTTGGGAAGCTTAAAAAGACAAGACATGGTATTCAAATTGTTGATTGTAATGGCCTAGCATGTCATTAGGTCTAGGCCATGGATCTGTACAATAGCAGCTTGTTTGTTAGGCTAAATCACACTGTTTTTTTACAAAGATCTAACTGTATGTTTCCTTTTTAAACAGACCTACATATTACATAGACTATACACACTGGGGTTTCATTACGATAAAATTCTTCACAACATGGTATGGCTAAACCATCTATTTCTGGCTTGTACAATCATGCAGGGATAAACGATGGCTGCAATTCTGATGCCTCAACCATTTAAGGCAACCCCTCAGCCACAAGAGAGTGTTGTTGTGTGGGGAGGGGAGCAGGTTAAGGGATTAATGATAAATATCTTACCTATAAGAGGTACAGCATTAACAAACCAGACAGGGGGGTCACTGTACGAATTATGTGATGTTGCCTCGCAATTGAATACAGCGTCATTTCCAATTGGCACTGATTTTGTTTCTGGGGCCTTTACAAATATTGGAGGAGCTGGAATACAAACAAAATTGAAAATATTGGGATGTGAGCATTTTTAATATCTTAATTGCTCTTGAAATAAGGCAATAACTATATGATTATTATTTTTTTTATTATTTCTAACAAAAAAAATGAAATCTTGTTTGCTCCTTAAAGTAATGTAATTTTATAAGCTATATTTGTTTGATAGAAAAATGTATTTTACTATGATACACTCTAATTAGTGACAGAGCCATGTGAAGATATCAAAGATGGTGCTCATGAGTGTAATAATTAAATCTTACATTAAAAGAAACTAGTATTACTAAAAAATTATAATTATACTTTGGCAAGTTTCCACATTAAGCAAATTACTATCACAACCATGTGATTCACAATTAAGCCTGTGTCAGTGTCGAAAAAAATATTTTTCCCAAAAATAAAAATCTGTGAATTTCTGAAAAACAAACATAATTTAGTTTTCCACATCTGTGCCAATTTTGAAACGAAACAATAAAACGAGCAAACTGTAATGACTCACCAACTATCTTCAGGTTAACTCTTCCATAAACTGGACTACCACTACCGAGCTTGGCCTCGCACATGTATTCACCCTCCTGATTCTGTTTATCATCAGGTAACAAAACATTATCTAAATTGAGTGTGTATCCTTTTCCTACATTCACGCCATTTCTAAACCAATTTATTGTCAGTTTATCTCTACAAAATCGAAAGAAAAGTTTAACCCCAATGTAAAAACCTATTTTTTAGTTTTCCCTTTGAAATTAAAATTCTTACATATCAGACTTATCTTTTCTAGTGTTTGGAATGATGCTAGAAAATGTTAACTAGGTGTTATTTAAGTTATTATGCTGTAAAATGACATCATTGTGCTTACTTATGGTTAAATCGCATTCTTATGTTGTGAATGAAGTTGTATTTATAAGGTTGTATCGATGCAGATTTTTCAAACTTAAAGGTGAAATACCCGATATGTTATCTAAATAGAAGGTAGTTTGATATGGATAGAAGAACTGTGCAGATCACAAACAAGATAGAAAGCAAAACAAAGAAATGAGTTTAAACATTTAAAGCAGTATGCAATTTATTGGATGGGATTGAATGGATAAATGGCAGTAGTGGGTAACATTATCACAAGCACTAGAAGTGCTTTTGTCACAAAAACATAATTATATCTTCCAAAACAATGTATGGTCACTCATGTGAAGTTTCATTGAAATCCCACCAGTAGCTTGACCTGTGAAAGCCTGACAAGATTTTTCTATTTTTAGTTATGGTGGCCATTCTGTGCAGCAAAGCGGAACATGACTGCAATTTGCGCAACTTTGGATGGAACTGATCACTCCTGGGAAGTTTGGTTGAAATCCCACCAATAGTTTGGCCTGTGCAAGCCAGACAATATTTTTCTATTTTTAGCTCTTAAGGCCATTTTGTGCTGCGAAGCGGAACATGCTGGCAATGTGCACAACTAGGGATGGTACTGATCACTCTTGTAAAGTTTGGTTGAAATCCTACCCGTAGTTTGACCTGTGAAGGCCGAGCAAAATTGTTCTATTTTAAGCTCTGGTGGCCATTTCGTGCATTAAGTGGAAAGTGCTTGTGACATGCACAACTAAGAAAGGTACTGATTACTCCTGACCTTGAAGGTAGGTGACCAGTTGTTGCACATGACACTTTGTCTCAATAAATTGTGAACAATTGTATCACATATTTACAAAGTCCCTTCAAAATTAAGAAAGTTATGGACCGGACACGACATATACCCTCAAATAGACAATGTTGACCTTGAATGTGCAGCGAAGCGGAATGTGCCTGCGATGTGCACAACTAAGTATGATACTGATTACTCCTGTAAAGTTTATAAGTCCCATCAGTAGTTTGACCTTTGAAGGCCGGACAAGATTTTTCTTTATTTAGCTATGGCGACCATTTTGTGCAGTAAAGCACATCGTGCCAGTGATGTACACAACTAGGCATAGTATTGGTCACTCCTGTAAAATTTGGTTGAAAGGCCAGACTTAGTTTGACCTGTGAAGGCCGGGCAAGATTTTTTCTATTCTTAGCTCTGGTGGCCATTTTGTGCAGTGAAGTGGAACATGCCGGTGACATGCACAACTAGGGATGGTCTGTAAAGATTGGTTTTCCCACCAATAGTTTGACCGGTAAAGGCCGAACAAAAAATTTCTATTTTTAGCTCTGGAGTCCATTTTGTGCAGCGAAGCGGAATATGCCAATGACGTGCACAACTAGGGATGGTCAAACATTGCCGTTGGCCAGTCAACAGGGAGAAGGGCTTTTAAATAGGATAGGTGGATGAAGGGCAGAAATGGGTAACAGGCTCACAAACAAGACAGCAAAGTTGAGTAAGTCAGAGCAAGTAGTTTTAGTATACAAGTAATTCACGCAAGAAGTAGGGCAAGCAGATCACAAACAAAACCGGTTGTAGAATGGTGAAGTTTAGTGTGGCGTTGGTAATTGGACAGGTAGTATGGTGTACCACAAATAACATACCCAACGATAGAATAGTATGTAAATATACACATAAGTTCAGCATCATCCCCGGCAAGCACCTGTACATCTTCATGATATTTCAACTCTGGCTGACGATCACCCAGTTCACCTGTAAAACATTAAGCATTATACACTAAATACATTACTCAAATCAAAAATGATTAAATGGAGATTTCTCAGCATACTCTATTTCGTATAAAAAAAGAGAAGAAAGAAACAAGTGCTGTCACTTAAAAGTTACGAATGCCCCCAAAAAGGTTTCTTAAGCATTGCAGAAAGGTATTATGAAATGAAAAGAGAATGAAAGAAACTAATTGCTTAACCCTTTCCCTTTGAAAAGCCTCCTGTTACAAGTTCAAACTGCTATGAAACTATAAAAAATGCTTCAATACTAATCAAACGTTTTATTTTTCTCTATTTTGGCACAAATGTTGACTGGACCAATGCCTTTGTAACGACATGCTCAGTCTTAAATTCCTGTTACCATGGCAACGAGGGGACATCTCAAAATTGCAAAAAAATCACTATTTTGCGTTGATTTTTTCCATCAAAATTGATTTGAAAGTGCTGCAACTTCTCAATGGATTAAGATAGAGTCAAAAGCTTTTCAGCGTTGGTTACACATTACCTTATTATCTACCTGGGGTTATTTCAAGCCTCTCACAAGTCCAAAATTTCTTTGTGATGAGAGCATTCAAACCCCCAAAACACATCCCGCTTCTGGCAACCCCCTGATGAACCTTTTTGATAGGGGCAGCGCCGAAAAATTGATTACTTTTTTAGCATCATTTCCCAAACGAAAAACAGTGTTTGGGACCTAAAAAGGGTAATTTTTCACTGTTTGAGACCTAAATGGAGGGTCAAAAAAGCCCTCAAAACACGTCTGAAGGGTTAATTATATTGATATTGTTGTTGTAAAATGAAAAGCTATTTAAAGCAAACACACCACCTTGGGACATGGGTCTTGGAAACGACTTGATGTGGTAGACATTTATGCCCAGTTGTTTTAAAATCCTTCAGTGCATGACAATGTTACAGTTTGGAAACTAATGTGTACCTTCAAACTCTTATTATGAGCATAAGTACCTTCAACTTAAAAGAGTGACATTGACCTTGGAGGTAGTGACATGGGTCATACACACAACACACGTGCCAATTTATTTTAAAATCCTTCGATGCATGAAAAAGTTATGTTCCGGACACGAATATGTGTACCTTTAATCTCTAATTGAGATAGTCTGAACCTTCAAAATATAAGTGGTGTGACCTTGACCTTTGAAAAGGGACGTTGTTCTTGGACTCCACACAACATTGTCATGTGATAGACATTTGTGCCAAGTTATTTGAAAATCCCTCAATGCAGGACAAAGTTACAGTATGGACATGTTTGTTGTGTAACGCACGGACGGACTTGAACCTTAGCCATGACACATGTGACCACTTGATGTGGTACACATATGTGCCAAGTTATTTTAAAATCCTTCCATACATGACAAAGTAAGTCCGGACATTAATATGTATCTTCAAACTCTTCTTGAGAGAATGAGTACCTTCAAACTATAGGTGTGACCTTGACTTTGAAGTTAAGGACAGGGGTCTTAAACTCGACATGTGGTGTTGATGTGGTAAACATTTATGCCTAGTTCTTCTAAAATCCTTCGACGCATGACAAAGTTACAGTCCGGACACAAATGTGTGTACCTTTAAACTGTAATTGTGATAAAGTGAACTTCAAAATGGCAGTGTGACCTTGACCTTTGAGGTAGGGACGTGATTATTGGACACGACACAACGTCTTGATGTTGTAGACATTTATGCCAAGTTCTTCTAAAATCCTTTGATGCATGACAAAGTAAAAGTCCTGACACAAATGTGTATACTTATAAACTCTTATTGTGATAAAGTGAAACTTCAAAATGTTAGTGTGACATTAACCTTTGATGTAGGGACGTGATTCTAAAACACAACACATCGTCTTGATGTGGTAGACATTTATGCCAAATGGTTCTAAAATACTTTGATGCATGACAAAGTTACAGCCCGGACACAATTGTGTGTACCTATTAACTCCAATTGTGATAATTTGAAACTTCAAAATGGTAGTGTGACCTTAACCTTTGAGGTAGGGACATAATTCTTTAACGCAACACATTGCCTTGGTGCTGTAGACATTAATGCCTAGTTATTTTGAAATCATTCGATGCATGACAAAGTTAAGTCCGGACATGAATGTGTGTACCTATTTACTCTAATTGTGATCATGTGAAACTTCATAATATAAGTCTGACATTGACCTTTAAAGTAGGGCAATGGTTCTTGAACGCGACACATTGTTTTGATGTGGTAGACATTTTTGCCAAGGTATTTCAAAATCCCAAATTTATGACAAAGTTACAGTCCAGACACGAATAAAGTGGGGACGCACAGACGGACGGACAGACAGACGAGGCGATATAAATATGTCGCCCTTCGGGACATAAAAATGTTGATGAGATGCACAACTACACATGGTATTGATCATTTCTTTATGAAATTGCACCAGCAGTTTCTAAGTAGTTATCAACAAAAAATACATCCTTTTTATTTTAATGTATTTTTTTTTGTATTTTGCACAAGTATTTGACCTACCAGTCATTCCTTTAAAGATTCATTGAAATTGCATTATTGGTATAAGAGGAATGGTCTGGACAATTTTAAAATAAAAGATATTAAAGGGCCATAAGTCTGACAAAACTCATTGTACCAGAAAATGCTGCCGATACACACAACTACACTTAGTACTGATCATTCCTGTAACGTTTGAATAAAATTGCACCAGTAGTTTATGAGGAATAGTTTTGTGATGAACGGACAGATGGACAGATGTCCAGCCGAAATGGACTTTGGGACTATTTCTTTTGTTATTTTTGTTTGTTTTATAGAAGGCCAATGGCCCCACACTCTATTGTTACAGAATGAACTCTATTGTTCTCTTTTGTTTTGTTTACAGTGAAATGGCCCCCTATTCCTATTCGGTAGTGCGAACAGACTGAAAGACAGACAGACTACGGAGAAGTGATCCCTATATGTCGCCACTACTCCGCAGAGGTGACACAAAAATATAAGACAGATTTATAAGAAAGTTTTATTAACAGACTGCTTCAATGTTTACAAACAAGTTTTCTTTTTGTTTGGAGCTAAATGTTTTTGGATAGCAGTGATTTTTGTCGGCAGACAGCAGGAAAGGAAACAAATAATACTTTATTTTAGGCCTTGTGTAAAAATCATACATATTTTTCTGTAGGGTTTTACATTGTACCAGCACAGTACAGGTCATATTCCAGCTATACTGGTGGAAGAAGAGCTCAGGCACCCCTCTATGCATTATTTCAGGCACTAACAACCACTGACATTATGTAAGCTAGCTGGAAAAAATCTAAAGTCCCTGTCAGGATACAAACCAACAGTTGTCGGTGTGGGGCAAGTGGTTTGATGTAAACGACATTCGCCACTCTGCAACAGACACCCCATCAGGTAGTATAAAGTCAATAACTACCATAAACCTATTCAAATATTCAAAAGTGAAATTTAAATACACCTACAGTAAACAAGGCAATGGTTAAAAGCGACAAATGCTTCCAAAAGCAGAAACCAAAGGGGCATGTGCTAGGCAAGAACTTACTTGCAAAGTCATAAAGTGGGCACATTTTATTTTAGTAAACAAATTAATATGTAAAGTGAATGATTACCGATAATATTCTTAACTACTCTATGCAGTTTTAACAAATTATCTCCAAAGGGCTTTCAGGTTATGCAACGGACAAGATTTCTCTAAGAGGAAAGATAATTCAAAAACAGGGCAAAATAGAGTTATAGTTCCTCGGCACTGCTTTCACCTCAAAGACCTCTACCACTGTGTGCAGTTTAATCAAATTATCTACAAGAGCTTTTAGGTTATGCTCCAGACAAGATATTTCTAAAAGGGGAGATTATTCAAAAACTTGACGAAACAGAGTCATGGTTCTTTGGCACTGCATTCCACTACAATGCCCTTTACCACTTTGTGCAGTTTAAACAAATTATGTCCATGGGTTTTCAGTTTATGCTCCTGACAAAAACGGACAGCGACTATATGCAGAGTTAGCGGAGTATAAAAATTTAACTACCATCATACACCATTAATAGGGCATTAAATCAATAACGATCATAAACTTGCTGTAGAGCATTTAACAATTACTATCACATACAATAAATAATGTACCAAAAACATTTAATTACCATCATGCACAATAAATAATGTACCAAAAACATTTAATTACCATCATTCACAGTAAGTCGGATTGTCTGTGTATTACTAACTTCTATGAGTGAAACCATGTTGACTGTAGTACACCCATAGATGTAACCATTGTCTGTCTTCTCAGCCCATAGAAAATGAAGATTTCCTGAAATATAAAATAAGATATACGAGTATAACAATTATTATCTAATATTTTTTTTTGTATTACAGCATCCTTAAAGCAACATGCTTCTGGGCACCTGGCGATGAGCAAAGCAACCCTTAAGAAAATAAGGCTGACAAGGCTCTAAACCACAGGCGCTAGGTACACTATAAAAAAAAAAACAAAAAAAACGTGTGTAATTACAGTCACAGCACAGTAAAGACTTGAACAAAAATCTGAAAGCATTTTGCTTTTCTGTAAGTGCTCGCAAAATAGCTTTGACAGTCATTAAACAAATTAAAATCTAGAAACTATTAATTAATTAACTATTAAGGTAAACATCATCCGAGTCAAATGCTGCTAAACGGTAATGTCATATATTTATCAAATAAAATCAAACATCCTATCAAAATTGTGGTTTCTATTATAATATAACTGTCAAAACTGATATTCCGATCCCTTAAAGCTCGTGAAGTATGCGCCATTTGAAACTAAGCATCTCAATTGACAGGTTTTTCTATTTATAACAATAAGTAGGTGAAAATATACCCTACCTTTTTTATCAATAGCAAATCTTTCTGTTATTCTTACGTAGTTTGCTACCAATTTTCCATCCTGAAAAATATCAGATTTGAGTGATGATTTTGATTTTTACATGTTTTGCAGTAAATATTTAAGTAATATCAACATTGACAAGGTCCTAACAAAACTTGCAAGAGCATAACTGCAAAGCACATATAGGAATTTCTAGCTGTACTGTAAGGCTCTTGAGGACTTTCTAGCTTTACTGTACAGCTCATAAATATTTTGTCTTGCTAGCTTTACTGTACATCTCATATAGGACTTTCTTGCTTAACTGTGAAGCTCATATAGGACTTTCTGTCTTTACTGTAAAGCTCATATAGGACTTCTAGCTTTACTGTTAAGCTCATATAGGACTTTCTAGCTTTACTGTAAAGCTCATATAGGACTTCTAGCTTTACTATAAAGCTCATTAAGGACTTTCTAGCTTTACTGTAAAGCTCATATAGGACTTTCTAGCTTTACTGTACAGCAAATAAATATTTTGTCTGTCTAGCGTTACTGTACATCTCATATAGGACTTTCTAGTTTAACTGTAAAGCTCATATAGGACTTTCTTGCTTTACTGTAAAGCTCATATAGGACTTTCTAGCTTTACTGTAAAGCTCATATAGTCTCTCTATCTTGACTTTAAAGCTCATATAGGACTTTCTAGCTTAACTTTACTATAAACTCATATAAGACTTTCAAGCTTAACTGTTAAGATCGTATAGGATTTTCTAGCTTAATTGTAAAGCTCATATAGGTCTTTCTAGCTTTTTGTTAAGCTCATATAGGACTTTCTACATTAACTGTAAAGCTCATATAGGACTTTATAGCTTTACAGTAAAGCTCATATAGGAATTTTTAGTTTAACTGTAAAGTTAATATAGGATTTCCTAGCTTTTCTTCAAAGCTCATATAAAACTTTTAGCATAACTGTAAAGTTCAAATAGGACTTTAATTGCTTTACTGTAAAGCTCATAAATATTTGGTCTTTCTAGCTTTACTGTAAAGCTCATTAATATATTTAGGCTTTCTAGCCTGTAGTGAAAGCTCAGGTAAAGTCAGGCATGAACAGACACAAGAGAGATCAACCAATCTTCCATTCACTAACGAGATTTCACCCTAAAAAACTCTTAAGTTGTAAATAGGACAAATCTGACATTAAGGTTTACAGCCCAACAATAATATACATGAATCTCACATTGGATTAAATTGTACATTTACTACATGTTTTAAAATTTGATAATTGTAGGGTTTTTATTAACTTACTGCATACCTTATTAATTTGTAAAATTAATAGTGTACAAATGATATGGGAACAGAGAACTATCTAGTATAAATACAGTTGTCAATACAACTTTTTGGTTATTTTCATCTTTTAAAAAACAATTACCTTTATCTTTAAATAATTTCCATCAGTTCCTTTCACTCTCACAAAAGTGTCCCCAAAAACAAATAACAAGATTATTTGTAATTTTTTTTCCATTTGTATACATTTTTTAACTAGAACTATCGCTGAATGCGATTCATACCCCAACCAATGTCCTTGACAGAAGACGACTTGGAAAGGTGGTTACGGAAATAACTTTAGTGGCACAAATACAAATACATAAAAAGAAAGTCTCTCTTGTGAAAAAAGACAAATTGTACAGGTAAAAGTATAAATATATATTGTCAAATCATGTTCGAAACAGTTACAAATAAACTTTCATTTTCCCAATGTACTAAAACAAACAAAAGCAGTGAAGTTAAGAAAATAGCATTCTTAAGTGAAAATGTAGTTAAGAGTGGAGAAACTTTGCATACTGAGCTTAGTTGTGACCCTTCATATATTACATAGTCGTATGTGAATTATCTGTTCTAGTTTTAGAAACATTTAAGTTTTAAAGGTTATAACAGAACATTTTCTAAGCCTAGAAAGGGCATAACTTGTGTCATAATTCAATGGAATTATAGGATATTCGTCATCTGAGTTTGCTTGTAACCATTCATATAAATTTTAAGTTTCAAGTAAATACCTGTTCTGGTTTAAGAAATATTATAATAAATAAATTTAAAGACATAAAAATGGACTAAACTTAAAATACAATATAAAGTTATACCCCTTCCCACTTTTTTTAGTCGTGAAACTTGACCTGTATATCTTACTTGCGACACTTCGTATATTTAAAGTTTCAAATGATTATCTAGTTTTAGAAATATTCAAGTACATGTTAAAATTTCAGAACATTTTCTAAGTTAATGTTTGGCCTTAAAGTGAGGCATTGACCTTAAATGGGCACAAGGGTAAAATGAGTTCTGCACATTGCCTTGTTAGGGTGAACATTTGAGTCCAATTTGAAGAATATGCTTCAATTAGTATAAAATTTATAGAGCTGACACGACATATTGTCTAGTATTAATTGTTTGTAAATTTAAAGACTTACAAGAGCCATGTCCACATGGCCATTCCCCGCCGAATGTGTTTGCTCATTGGAAGAATGTATATGTAGTAGAGCAAAATAATTCCAATTGAAGAGGTATTTTGGTAATAAAAACTGATGGCTGAAGTGATTACATATTTGAAACCTATGTGAATACTGATGGCTGAAAATAACAAAGGGCAATAACTCAAAAATGATAGAGGGTAGAGCTATCATTCTTGTGCACTGCACTTCTCCTCAATGAGATCCACCCACCTATGAAGTTTCAAGTTGATACCTTAAGTACTTTTTGAGATAAGCTCAAATGTCGGATGAAAGGACGGACGGACGGAAGGACGGACGGAGACTATTTCTAAAAGGCGGCGGGGGATAAAAAAAGGGCATAACTTTGTCAAAATGCAAAAAAAAATAGTAATGAAAGTTGACCTGCATATCTTACTTGTAACACCTTATACATCTTTTCAAGTTTCAAGCAAATACCTGAGCTAGTTTCAGAAATATTCAAGTACATGTTAAAACTTAAGAACATTTTCTAAGTCAATCTTTGACCTTTAACTGTGACATTGACCTTAAGCCGGCACAATGGTAGCATGGGTTCTGCACATACTCTTGTTGATGTGAATATTTCAGTAAAAGTTTGAAGAAAATTCTTCCATTAGTATAGGATTTATAGAGCGAACACGACATTTTGTCTAATATTTGATTGTATGTAAATTTTAGGACTTAAAATGGGGCATAACTTTGTCAAAATGCAATACTAAGTTATGAAACTTGACCCGCATATCTTAATTGTGACACTTCATATATATTTTAAATTTCAAGCAAATACCTTTTCTAGTTTCAGAATACATTTTAAAATTCAAGAATATTTTCTAAGTCAATTTTTGACCTTCAAGTGTTACCTTCACCTTAAGCCGGCAAAAGGGTAACATGGGTTCTGCACATTACCTTGTAGAGGTGATTATTTGAGCCAAGATTGAAGAAAAACTTTCAATTAGTGTAGACACGACATATTGTCTAATATTTGATTGTTTGATATTCGTCCTTCAATTGAGACCTTAACCTTGAGCTGACACATGAACAAAATGGGTTCTGCACATTCCCGTGTTGAGGTGAACACTTGAGCAAAGTTTGAAGAAAATCCTTCAATTGGTATAGGATTTATAGAGCGTACACGATAACAGAGACGGACCGACCGACGCGGCAAAGCGAATCCACATTTTGTGGTGGGGGTGTAACAGAAACATAAAATACTAACTACCTGTACAACACTTTTCTGCCAGCCAAACTGCCACTGGGGAACACTATATGGAACATCTTTACATTCTAATTTGAAGTATTTTGAAACATCCACCTCTAAATCTGTTGTTGACACCCCTGTTCCTTTGAACGCATTGGCAACTGAACAAAAATAGAAATTAAATATGATTTTATTTTACAACATGTACTGAGAAAACTACAAATTGACAGAAAATTGCATTTGTGAACGAAAGGGTCATGATGGCCCTAAATTGTTCACCGGAGTCAGAATACTTGTTTATTTGTTGTTGTTTTTTTTAAAGATTTGATTTTGTTTTTATTTTAACTATATGCATATCAAGAAAATTAATCACATCCTTGACGTGGCGATCTTTGACCCAAGGCTTTTTTTAGACAATAATTTGTAACAGAATTACCAACGTCCCCCGCCTCAGGGAAGTTTTATATGAAGCATAAAATGGTGATATTTTTCAAAAGATTGAGGTATGGATCTCAAAAATATGATCAATGCTAGATCTGCAAATGCAACAATAAATTTATTAAAGAAATAAAATGAAACATGGAATTTAAAAATCTGTCATGCTTAGCTTTGACCTCTAAATGTGACCTTGACCTTGGAGGTAGGGGTGCAGGTGTTGTGCATGACATATCGTCTTATTATTGTAACTATTTGTGCCAAGTATTTTCAAAATCCCTTGAACTATGAAGAAGTTATAGATAGGTTACAAAATATACCCTATAACAGACTATGTTAATCTTTGACCACTAAGTGTGACCTTGGAGGATGGGACCCATGTTTTGCGCCTGACATATCGTCTTATTATTGTGATTATTTGTGCCAAATATTTTTAAAATCCCTTGATATATGTAGACGTTATGGACAGGACACAAAATATATCATGTAACAGATTCTGTTAACCTTTGACCTCTAAATGTGACATTGACCTTAGAGAAAGGGGGTGCAGGTGCTGCCTTGATATATTGTCTTATTATTGTGACTATTTGTGCCAAGTTATTTTAAAATTCCTTGAAATATAAAGAAGTTCTAGATCGGACACAAAATATACCCAATAACAGACTATGTTAATTTTTTACCTCTAAGTGTGACCTTGGAGGTAGGGATGCACGTGTTGTGCTTGACACATCGTCTTTTTATAGTGACTATTTGTGCCAAGTATTTTTAAACTCCTTTGATCTATGAAATAGTTAAACAGACTATGTTAATCTTTGACCTCAAAGTGTGACCTTGACCTTAGAGGAAGGTGACCGGTTTTGCCCATGACACATTGCCTTATTATTGTGAACAATTGTGGCAAGTATTTACAAAATCCCTTCAAAATTAAGAAAGTTATGGACCGGACACGATATATATACCCCCAAAAAGACAATGTTGACATTGAATGTGCATCGAAGCAGAATGTGCCTGTACAAGTAAGGATGGTACTGATCACTCTTGTAAAGTTTAAAGTTGAAATTTCATCAGAAGTTTGGCCTGTGAAGGGCGGAAACGATTTTTCTATTTTTAGCTCTGGCGGCCATTTTGTGCAGCGAAGCACATCGTGCCAGTGATGTGCGCAGCTAGGGATAGAATTGATCACTCCTGTATAGTTTGGTTGAAATCCCACCAGTAGTTTGACCTGTGAAGGCCGGACAAGATTTTTCTATTTTTTGCTCTGGCGACCATTTTATGAAGCGAATTGGAACGTGCCGGTAATGTGCACAACTAAGGATAGTACTGATCACTCCTGGGAAGTTTGGTTCAAATCCCACCAGTAGTTTGACCTGTGAAGGGCGGACAAGAGTTTTCTTTTTTTTTAGCTCTGGCCGCCATTTTGTGCAGCAAAGTGGGGCGAGTCGGTGATGTACCCAACTAGGATGGTACTGTTCACTCCTGTAAAGTTTGGATAAAAATCACCTGTATTTTGACCTGTAATGCCGGACAAGATATTAATGTTTTTTTAGCTCTGGTGGCCATTTTGTGCAGGGGAATGTGCCGGTAATGTGCTCAACTAGGGATGGTACTGATCACTCCTGTAAAGTTTGGTTGAAATCACGCCAGTAGTTTCACCTGTGAAGGGCGGACAAGCTTAATGCGGACGGACGGACAGACAGAGAAGGCAAAAACAATATGTCTCAGAATATTTTTGGGAGACATAAAAATATAACCAGATGCTATCATGAACAGAGATACCAAAGTCCTAAATAAATAAAATAGCCTAGCTGTCAAGCTAAAAATAGTGAATAAGAACTTTGCAAATAATTGAAAATCACTATTTATCATAGAGTAAGATAAAAAGAAACTTGTGTTCAGGTGAGCAATGAGACCAACCTGTGGCTATGATTTTCAGGATTGGTGTCATAGCGGTACCATATTGATTGGTGGCAAAACATTGATAATCTCCTGTGTGTAATTCACCAAATAGAGGCCCTGTTGTAAGTGTCCCGGTATCTTTGTCAAATGCAACTACTCGATCATCCGAAACAATTTCTGTCCCATTCACAGTCCAATAATATCTAAAACAGAAAAAAAACATAATGAGATTCGATAATATTGTCACGATCGAGACACGAGACGTTGTTGTCTGCGCTGAATTTATATTATACTCGGTTATAACGCCTTATGCAATATGACACAATCTGCGCACGTGCTATTACTGACTTAGTCGAATAAATACTAATTAAAGATTGTCAGGATTTTGACACATGACGCTGCTGACAACGTTGATTATATTTGTTTGTTTGATTGATTGATTGATTGATTGATTGGGTTTTACGTCAATGTTGGGATTCGAACCCACAGCGTTGAGGGGGAAGTTGTGTGAAGTCAACGACCGTCACCACTCGACCACGGACGTCCCAAGTTGAATATATACTGGGTTATATTAAACTATACCTATTATTTATAGTAAAACATCACAAAGGAGAAAGTCGTTGTTACGTTTATAACTTTTAATGAAGCATTGAGCTCAACAATTATAGATCAACAGTTTAAAATGAAATATTTCTAACACATTAAATCAATTCCTAAAGTTCTTCACAGATTGATAATAAAATCATGCAATTCACACAAGAGAAAATCGATTGATAATGTTATCATGCAATTCATACAAGAAAAGTTTATTCATTGTTATATAATACCAAATGTACTTGTTATTTCACGGCGTCTCAACGCCGTGATATTGTGATGGGTAGTTTTCGGTAGCATGGGCAAAAGTCACGTGACAAAATTCCTTTCGATTTCTACAGCCGACATTTTATTGGCTTTTTACGCAATCATTGTACAGCCCATTTCCGTGAAAAGTTACATAGAAACATTTTCCTTTCAAATCATATACATTACAGTATTTTTATCAACACGCAAAATATCAGCGTGATATATTTACACAATTTCGCAAATCCTTTCGACACACTTGAGAAGTTTGAATACTAAAACCCGGATTTCGAATATCGTTGTGGTCTACATTGATGCCGTACATGTATCCATTCGTTCATTCATTTATGTATTTTCAAAATTTTCCTACAAGAAGAAAGTTCACCTGCCAATTATTATAAGGATAGGTAATGGACTGTTATAAACGATTATCCTATTAATTTTATATATTACGTTTATCTGTTGCACAGAAAGGTTGTTTTTTAGAAGGTGTACCAGTATCCGGATGTTGAAAGCTATCCGATTTTCTGCAAAAACTGCTGTAACATGGCCATTTATTTTTTTTATGAATACTTTACCATGAATTTGCATGGCTTAATAAAACTGAGCCTGCAACATTTCTTAATTTTGATGTTTGGGGTGTTCTTTTGGGTTTCAGGTTTTCTCTATTTTAAGGGGAAGTAACTCATGTTTACTAAATTATCTGTTCTTTTCTGTCTATCTTAGGTTGAAGTTAGGTATTACTTTCTATTTTTGTTTCATAAATTTACCAGTTGTAAGGTATTAATCAAAAGCATAGAGGCCATGATGAGTGAATATTGATATATAGTTTTTTACTGGCTTTATATACCTTAGACCAGATTTTTCTAGTTTGTTCATTTAGCACATATACTATAGGTATTCTGCTAGAGGAATATTCTAATCAATATGTGAAATTATTATTTTCTATGTGTTTGTATGTAAATTGCTCATAAAATAACCTTTGGTAAAAATGAAAAGGTAGAATATTTAAGCTATACATATGGGTGCTCATTTTAAACACTTGATATATATACTGTTTTATAGTAAAGTCTAATGAGGGACAGTATTTGTTACTGTAAGAGATATGCATTTAATCTTTAGAAACTCACACAACTTAATCTTTATTATATAATTTTTATTGAGATTTTTTTTCACTTTTATACTATACAATATCATGTACATTATAGTTTTCTTTCTACAAGATTATGAATTCCACCCAAACACCAATGTTAATAGGATGTTATATTTATTTTTAATGGAACCTGAGAATTATTTATGTAATGTTCATACAAGTGTATCATAGTATATGGATATAATGTGTATTTCTGTATTTAAAGACTTACAGTTATGATGGATGAGACTTGCATTTAAATTTATAAATGATAATACATGATCAGTTCTCTGATCAGTCTACAGGTTAAAGATGTTTATACCCAGTGTTAGCTGGCTAATAATAGTATCTAAAACAGAGTTTATATATTATAGTTTTCTTTCTACTAGATTTTGAATTCCATCCATTAGTACCAATGTTAATGTTAGGATTTCATATTTATTTAATAGAAACTGGGAATTATTAATGTTATGTGCATACATGTAATTTTTTATCTTAGTATATTGATATGATGAGATTTATAATATTTCTGAATTTAAAGAGTTACAGTTATGTCATTATTATTAAAGGGATGAGACTTTCATTTAAAGTTATAAATGATAATATATGTATTGATTGAAAATGTCCTGAATCTTGGATCCAGCAATATAATTGATAAAGTCTCAAAACAAATCATATTCTGAATAGTTACATTCTATTTTTTTTTCTAACATGTGCATAGTTTGAAATGGACAGCTTCTGCTTTATCTATTTGTAATGGAGGGACACCGGTCTCAATCTCCAGGTCTCCTGAGTCAACCCGACAACATACTTTTCATAGAGTAGATTGTTACTTGCCCTTGAATAAATTTGTACACTAAATTTATTGTGGGTGATTTAATGTGCCACATGAAAACCAACAAAGTACAAAAAGTAACCAGGCGCCAGATGAAAACATGAAAATACAATCTACCACGAAGTGGTTCGTTGGTTGCATAATTTTCATGTTTTCGCCCGGTGCCCTCAATGATGCAAAATACAAATCAGTCTTCATAAATTTTCTTATCATAGAAAAAAGGTTAGTTTTTTATCTGTACAAAAAATAGATATTGTACATGCATTAGCACAGTTAAGTTCACTTTTAAATTGACCTGTTATAAATAATGGCACAACCAATAACTGTCTAAGCCCTTTTTAGTAAAAATAATTATACAATGGTATATAAATTGTTATCTTAATTAAGACTATACTATATGAGTATGTAAGGGTTTTTTTTTCTTATTTATTAATTAAGAATTATTTATCTGTTAATTTGAAAATCTAAATATCTGTCATGGTTTAGAACTGTTCACTATTTAGGGGAGAAAATGTGTAAGTGGCCAGATAGCTCAGTACATTATTCTGTGGGTCACAGGTTTGAGTTATGGTGAAGCTGAAAGTTTTTATCATCCTGTGACTGCATATAACCATGAGTTTAATTCACTATGCTCTGTTAACATCAGAAATTCAAGGACATTAATCAATGTAGTGAAGAAATATGTTGTGGTTTAGAACTGTCTCATTATTTAAGAGAAAATGTGTAGCCGGCCAGATAGCTCAGTTGGCCTTCTGAAAGTCATGTGTTCGAGTCATGGTCAGGCAGTTTCAGTCAGGGTTTAGAAGTGGGTTTGCGACTGGCACATGTTTTATTCATTTAATAAAGTGCATTTAATTTGAAATGGACAAAGGCAGAATTGCATGATACTGTTAGATCTACAAAAGCATTTGATACAGTTGATCACACTATACTGCACATGAAGAAGTTCTTTTTCTTCTTCTTAATGGAACTTCAAGCATCTGCCATATGTAATGACATTCTTACATGGTTCAAGTTTTATCTCTGATAGCAGCTGGTTGATGTGGCTGGTACTCCTTCTACTTCTGCTCTGAGTACCTATGGTGTCCCCCTGATGTTCATTTTAGGTCCTCTTTTATGTCTAAAATATGTCAATGACATGTCTGCAACCCTAAGCAATACTAAGCTTTATTATATGCACAGGTACAAGTATCAGACCTGGGAAGAAAAAATATGATAAGATTTTCGTCCAGGTTCGATACTCGTGCATGTGATTATATGATGATGACTCGGGTATCCTTGTATCTGGTAAAATAAATCTTAAGATTGGTTAATTGACTATAAATTGTCTTTGCATCTTGGCAAGACAGTGTCTATTCTTTTTGGTTTAAGTTTCAACTTAAACTGGGCCTAGCCTCCAGGTCACATGAAATGGTACAGCTATAAAGTACACATCTTTTGTTAAGTATTTAGGTCAAATTCTTTTGGCGTCGCCCTTTGATGCTTTGCATCAATGCTTTTCTTGTTGTCTTTTTTTGAATAATTTCATTTTCTTGTGCAATAAAACATTTTTTCCCTAAAATGAGACTTCGTTTTCCATATGCGTTTCACAGTAAGCATTTACCATACCAGGTTGTACAATAACTTAATTTGGTCCGTAAATCAGTCTTTCACACAAAGTCTTCTGAACTTCATTCAGAATTCATGTCTCATTATTGTGAGCAAAATTCTGAGTTTCCTTTAGCTATAAGCTGGAAAATGTTTAATTATCCCCGCCGAAAAGGCGGTTGGGGATATAAAATTAGTCTCCGTCCGTCCGCCTGTCCTTCCTTCAGTCTGTCCTTCCGTCCTCATTTTAGTCCGGACCATAATTTAAAAAGTATTTGAGGTATCAACTTGAAACTTCATAGGTAGATAAATCATATTTAGGAGAAGTGCAGTGCACAACAATGATGATTCTACCCTACATAATTTTGTTCAGTTATTGCCCTTTGTTATTTTTCAAGCTCAATTTTTGTCCAGAGCATAACTCAAAAAGCCTTTAAGATGGATAGATCTCACTCAGGAGGTGTGCAGTGCAAAAAAGTGATAACTCTACCCCTTCATAGTTTTTGAGTAATTGCCCGTTGTAATTTTGCATACTTTATTTTCCACCTGAGTGGAGCATAACTAAAAAAATCTTTGAGATGTCAACATGAACTTCATCGGTGGATTGATCTTATTGAGGAGGAATGTTGTGCAAAAGAATGATACCTGTACTGATTATAATTTTTTAGTTATCGACATTTGTTATTTTTCATACTTTTTGTCCGGAGCATATCTCAAAAAGTGTTAGAGGTAGATCTTACTCAGGAGGTGATAACTCTACCCTTCATACATTTTTTGAGTTATTGCCCTTTGTTATTTTTCATACTAAATTTTTCACCTGAGTGGAGCATATCTCAAAAAGTGTTTGAGGTAACACCTTGAAACTTCATAGGTGGATAGACCTCATTGAGGAGAAGTGCTGCACACAAGAGTGATAACCGAGCGTGCATTATTTTTCAGTCGTTGCCCATTGTTATTTTTCATACTAAATTTTTGTCCAGAGTATAACTACAAAAGCCTTTGAGATATCAACATGAAACTTCATATATAGATAGATCTCACTCAGGAGGTGTTCAGTGCATAAGGGTGATAACTCTACCCTTCATAATTTTTGAGTTATTGCCCTTTTTTATTTTTCATACTAAATTTTTCACCTGAGTGGAGCATATCTCTAAAAAAGCTTTTGAAATGTCAATATGAAACTTCATAGGTGGATATATCTTATTAAGGAGGAATGTTCACAAGAATGTTACCCTTTATAATTTTTGAGTTATTGACATTTGTTATTTTTCATACTTTTTGTCCGGAGCTTATCTCAAAAGTGTAAGAGGGAATAACTTGGATAGATCTCATTGAGGAGGATTGCAGCACGCAAGAATGATAACCTACTGTGCATTGTTTTTCAGTTATTGCCCTTTGTTATTTTTCATACTTAATTTTTGTCCCAGAGTATAACTACAAAGGCCTTTGAGATATAACATGAACCATCATAGGTGGATAGATCTTACTCAGGAGGTGATAACTCTACCCTTCATATTTTTGAGTTATTGCCCTTTGTTATTTTTCATACTAAATTTTTCACCTGAGTGGAGCATATTTCTAAAAAAGCTTGTGAAAAGTCAACATGAAACTTCATAGGTGGATAAATCTTATTAAGGAGGAATGTTGTGCACAAAAATGATAACTTTACCCATTATAATTTTTAAGTTATAGCCCTCTGTTATGATAACTTTACCCATTATAATTTTTGAGTTATAGCCCTCTGTTATTTTTCATACTTTTTGTCCGGAGCTTATTTCAAAAATTGTTAGAGGTTACAACTTCATAACTACAAAAGCCATTGAAATATCAACATGAAACTTCATAGGTAGATAGATCTCACTCTGGAGGTGTGCAGTGCAAAAGAGTGATGACTCTATCCTTCATAGTTTTTGAGTAATTGCCCTTTGTACTTTTTCATACTTAATTTTTCACCTGAGTGGAGCATAACTCAAAAGTACGTCTTTGAGATGTCAACATGAAACTTCATTGGTGTATTGATCTTATTGAGGAGGAATGTTGTGCGCAAGAATGATACCCTTTATAATTTTTGAGTTATTGCCCTTTGTTATTTTTCAAACTTTTTGTCCGGAGCTTATCTCAAACAGTGTTAGAGGTATTAACGTGAAACTTCATAGATGGATAAATCTCATTGAGGAGGAGTGCAGCACACACCTACCGTGCATTATTTTTCAGGTATTGCCCTTTGTTACTTTTCATACTTAATTTCGTCCAGAGCATAACTACAAAAGCCTTTGAGATATCAACATGAAACTTCATATGTGGATAGATCTCACTCAAGAGGTATGCAGTACACAAGAATGATAAATTATTCTGCTCTACTACATATGCATGGCTCTTGTAACAAGTTACATTACAATATTTAAAAACCTTCTTAACAAGTTAACCTGTGAATTAAACTTAATGCTATTTGGAGATACCTTAACATTATATTATAACTGTTTTTTGTATTTTTTCTTTTTTTCGCCGTGACAATCACATTGCTGCATTTCCCAGCAATTTTTTACTTGTTTAATATAACTAGTTGCTTTGCATCAGAAATATCACTTAAAACTTGTGTTAACAATTCTTAATAATTGTTGCCTTAAAGCTTAAATAATTCACATTTGCTTTCCTAATTGTCATTTTGGCGCAATAGTTGACCGTGACAAAAATAGCAGAAATAATTATCACTAACAATTATAAAATATGTATAAATATTTGTTATAAATGAAACAGCTTATCAAAACTCAAAGTGAATAAAAATGCCCATCCAGATTTAAAGAGGATCTCCACAAGCATGTTCAGGCTAAAATAGTAAATAAGCTACTTGTTAGAGTGTATGTTTTGTCATTCTAATGCGAAAAATGCTTCATCTTGTGTTTTATAGCTGGTTTTATCGCCAAACATGTTTGTCAAAAATTAATGAAATGTACTTATATGTCAAAGTGTCAGTCTCAAAGTAAGTATGCATAACATTAACTTGTAGGGCTCTTCAATATATGTACATGAACGTTTTCAAAGTTCCAGATTTTAGTACCATATTTTTTGCCTGCCACAGCGTCAAATTTCCCAATCTTGATGGTATGGCTTATCTTCCTAAAACACTGTAAGAACAAAAGCTGTTGGTAGGACAATGTGCTCGACTTTTCTCAATGCTTGATAGTAAAACAAAAACCTGGATAATGTCAAATTTTCTGAAATTAAATAAACTCAATAATTCTGTCATCTAGTTATGAACTTTGAACAGTGGCCTATTATGCTCTCTAGCAAGTGTTTGAAGTTTCAAAACGCAGCATCATAACATAATTTTTCTGTTACAGTTAGATTGACAAAACTATACTTACTTTGCCTGAGGTTCAAACGTATTAGGACTTGCCTTTCTTACATACACTTTTGTCTGAGACCATTTATTTCCTTGTGGTACATAAATCTGGGGTGGACGTCCATCTAAAATATAAAATAGATCAGCTTATAAAAAGTGCTTGCTATGTGTTTTGTAACTGAGTTGAAACATTGTTTGTAAAATAGCAATTATTTGTACCTTATCCATCAAATTTGTTTTTATTGGCAATAAAAAATTCTAACCATAAACAAATTCAATGTTCGTGTGAAAAAATATTTAAAAACTTTAACCCTTTACCTCATATACACGCGAAACAACGCACTTTCGACCCCCCCTCCCCCTTAAAATAGTGAAAAAAATTTCCTATTTGGGCCCCAAACACATGTTTTCGTTTGAGAAATGTTGCTAAAGAAAGTGAGCACTTTTTCGGCGCCGACCCCCATGCAAAAGATACATCAGGGGTTTGCAAGAACTGTTTGGGGGGTTTGAAGGGGGCGGAGTCCCCCTCATCGCCAAGAAAATTTTGGACTTGTGAGAGGCTAAAAATGACCCCAGGTCGATCATAAGGTAACGTGTAACCAACGCTGAAAAGCCTTTGACTCTATCTCAATCCCTTGAGAAGTTGCAGCACTTTGAAATAAATTTTGATGGAACAAATCGAGGCAAAATAGTGATTTTTGGCAATTTTGAGATGTCCCCTCGTTGCCATGGTAACAGGAAATTTTAGACTGAGCATGTTGTTACAAAGGCAATGGTCCAGTCAACATTTGTGCCAAGTTTGATTTGTATTGAAGCATTTTTCATAATTTCATAGCAGTTTGAACTTGGAACAGGAGTCTTTTCAGTGAAAACGGCCATTTTTCACAATATGCTCATGAGGGAAAGGGTTAAAAATGTAAGAAATTGTATTCTTCAATACTGTATAAGAAATTAACAATTCAATAATTTCTAGCTTTTGGAATGTTTACTATTCTCAAAACAATACAAAGCAGTGTATTTTCACAATTTGTAATTTTGTGAAGTTGTTGTTTTTTGGGGAGAGATAGGGGTATGGGGAATAATTTAAACTTTGGGGAGATATAACTAATAATATAGAAAATATGCATATTTAAATAAGCAGTTGCCGGCTTTATTATCTGGCAATTATGCACGCCAATTCAGATTGACAAGGCTCTATACTGCCGCTATCTCAATGTAAGAAGTTTCAAAATTCATCATATAACAAATCAAAGGGCTGCAAGCTCTGTGTTATTTTCTGATCTTTGCAATCTAAATCGTACTGTTTATCTGTATGTATTTTCCTGTATAAGTTTATATTGATATACTATAATTCATCTTGCAGAGCACAGTGCTATAACAGTTTGAGTTTGATTCATACATTTTTAACTTGCATTATGAAATTATTTATATACAATTTTTAATGACAGCCACACTTTATTTTGCAAATAGTGGCTAATTCCTTAAGAAATAATGTTAAAATCGCTAAAACGACACTAAAGAATATTAAAAAACAATAAGTTGCCTCGAATGGGAATTGAACCCAAGACATCTCACTTCCTGAACGAGCGTGTTACCTCTGGACCACGGGGAAGTTATAAAAAAAACTGAAGCAAATCAAATGAGTCTAAATTTAGCATTTCCATTAATTTAGAGATATTATGTTCACGGTAAACCTGTTGTTTAATACTGATGTAAATAATTAAGTTAAAATCTTCTCGCCCAAAAAGTCTGACATGTATATAATATTTCACTACTTGACAGTCGATGTCATTTTTGTAATACGCGCTGAAGTGTTCGTTAATCAGCATCACTAAAAATAACGCTTTGTTTACGTTGATTTATAATCGGGTGCTTAACTTAAAAGACCCTAACTTATGATAGAAATTGATTATCGATCGGCGACTGCCCTAAATTCGTCCCTGTCCTAGAGTCAACATCCTTACTTTATTTTTCAGAAAGTCTAAATAAGAAATGTTCATTTAGGCGGCGTTTAATTCCAATTTCAACAATTCGAAGCTTTACGGAAATAGCAGAGCAATTCTTATTGATTAAAATGATATTCATCTGCGTCATTTGTGATTGTGCATTTATTGGCAATTCTATAAGCCAAAGCTTCTTTTAAACTTTGAATGTGGTGATGTGTATCACGACAGTTCAATGCTTTTCCGCTGTGAAAAGAATTGTTAATATTGGATCTAATATAGTAAATAATAAATGGATTAAGTGATGACAAGGTATAAACTAGAATACATTTATAAACTATTTATATCTGCAAGAAAACATATTCCTTTTTAGTGTTTGCGAGATTAAAAATCATTAAAAATAATATTTTGCTAATCATACTAAAGGATTATTGGCAGATTAAAATATTAGCACGGACAATTCATGAGCGAGAAATATACGTGTAGGGGCGTATGTAGTGATCTTAACTGTTTTTTATACGAGAACAGGACTAAATTATATTGTTATAGTGACCACATATTAAATTCTCTAATGCCAGCAAGCAAGAAAAATAAAAACAAGAGAAATCTGCCTTCGCCAGATGATTCTTCGGCACCGGGAAAGAGACCTACTGTAGTTCCGCCACCTTACGCATCAGGGGATCATAAAGACACCCCTAAAGAAAACATGAATAATCCTGGATATGTGCAGCCTATAAATATGTCAAATATGTCTAATATGAACAATTACCAGACTCCGATGAATACCTTTTATACCCCTCCGCCACATTAACCCCAGACGTACTACAATAACCCAACAAATGTACTACAATCAACAAAAAATTCACCACAAAATCAGCACCCATCCCAGACGGGTTTTCTGTCCGATGTAGGTTTCCAGCAGTTTGTGGTGGATCGGCTCACATCAATGGATAATCGCTTAAGCAAACTGGATTCAATCGAACAGCAAATATCTGTCATAACCAGTAATATGACTTCATTGGATACAGGAGTTACTTTCCTTGAAGCATCGGCCGGTAAGTCGGATTCCAAAATGAATGATATAGAAAAAAGCAAAGCCTTTGACTCAAAAATTTGTGATGAACTGCAGGAAAAAAATTCTGAGCTCGAGAAAGCTTTAAAGGAAGAAAGGTCGAGGATAGCCTCACTGAATAAGGATCTTAACGCCTTAAAATCTGTATCTGAGAATGCCACAGATCTACACAGATAATCTGTTATTTTTAGGTTTGAGGAGGGCAAAACACCAGACGATAGAAGAACTGAAAATTGTACAAAACTTATATTGGTCTTCCTTTCAAACTCTCTTAAGATTCCCAAAGCCCATGTGTCTATTAATTTTGAACGCGCTCATCGCTTCTGATAAAAACACGAAATAGGCAAAAGTCGTCCGATTGTGGTGAAATTTAATCATTACCCGGATAAATTACTCGTAAAACAATTGTCACATGTATTTAACCAATCATTTGGAAAAGGAAAATCTGACGAAAATTCCACGGAAGAGAATAGCAATACAAATAACAGTTATCATGTTCAACGTCCGAAAATCCGAGTTAGCGAGCAGTATCCGAAAATCATTCAAGATCGACGAAAAATGCTTATTCCAACATTAATCAAAGCTAAAGAAGATGGGGAAAAGGCATACTTGTCATATGACAACTTTTACATCAATAACAAAATGTTTACTACAGAAAACGTGTCAAAAGCAGGTTACAATTAGGGGTGTGACGTCACACAGTTGTCCTTTTTGCTATGGAATGTCCAAGGCATCAAATCCAAATTACGAGAGAGTGAATTTATTAACTTTTTTTCAAATAACGATATCCTATTGTTCAGTGAAACGTGGAACTCTTACTTGACAAATACAGTAGAACTTCGGTAAGTCGAAGTTGAAGGGACTTGCGTAAAAACTTCGACACATCGGGACTTCGACTCATGAATCGCTCCCAATTCCATGACAAAATTTCGACCCGTGACTAGTCTATAACGAAACCTATTTCATGTTTTTTCCATCATTAATCTGATATTCACATTTTACAATGATAAATATAGCATGTAAAATAACGTTTTTCACGACACGTTGACGTATACAATAGAGTTACAAAAGGCGTAACAATACGAAACATAACCAACTTATAGTATATATTTCGCGTGTTATTTTCACGCGACACCGGGTCAAGGATGTAATCAAATGAAAGTAGTTCTTACTGTTTACTTTCAAATACCACTACGGCAATTAAAATAGTAACGATTAAAGCATTTTATCACACATTTTATGGCAAACAAAGGCTGTCACACAAGTTGATTGGAAATCGTCTTCGCAGCCAGATAAGGTGTGAAAAATGTCTCGAGATCGACGGTGTCAAAATAATCGAACAACTTCGACTTATTTGTGGTAAATTGCACTAGATTTACTTAATACGGACCACGAAAAAACCTCGACACATCGAAAAATTCGACACATAAAATCTCGACTCATAAATAGGTTTTTATAAGGAATATATAGGGGGAAAAGTCGGGACTTTAATTATTCTTCGACACATCGAGAAAATCGACTAATCGAAGTTCTACTGTATAAATATGAATGGATACGAATAATTATCCTCGTCCAAAGTTTAATAAAAATGCAAAGAGACATACATGTAGCGGAGGTATAATTATTTATTTTAAAGAATGTTACAGGAAATTTATAAGTCTAGTTTCGCTAGATAACAAGGGAATTATTTTGTTTAAATTATCGAAAGGTATGTCATGTTCATCTTAAGACTCCTATTTTTGTTTGTGTTATATACTGCCGGAAGATTCAAATGTATACAGAAATATTAAAATTTTTAATTGATAAATTTAGACAACAAAAGAAGAAAATATATTGTTCATACATAGATTTTTCTCTAGCATTTGACCAAATATGGAGAGTGGGTCTCTGGAGTAAATTACTTAAAATTGGCATAAACGGAAAATTGTTTAAGGTTATCTACAATATGTATGCAGATATTAAATCTAGCGTCTCTGCAAATGGCACAATGTCGCAATTTTTCAAAAGTAACTGTGGCGTCCGTCAAGGCGAAAATCTTTCGCCGATACTTTTTTCTATTTATCTGAACGATCTAGAGTCTTACTTAGAAGAAAGAAACCCGGGTCTTGAA